CACAGCAACAAGACACAAGGTAGTTATGCTGCATCAGCAAGGTCTCTCCCAGGCACAAATTTCAAAGCAGATTGGGGTTTCAAAATGTGCTGTTCAAGCTCTTTTGAAGAATCACAAAGAAACAGGCAACACTGAGGAAACGTAATGCAGCAGACGAAAGGCACATCATGATTACCTCCCTTTGACATTTCAACAGTGCCATCAGCACAGCACTGGCAGAAATCAGTGGGACCCAGGTACACCTATCTGCTGTCCGCAGAAGTCTGGTCAGAAGTGGCCTTCATAGAAGAATTGTGGCCAAAAAAAACCATACCTCTGATGTAGAAACATGGTTAAGCGACTCAACTATGCATGAAAACATAGGAACTGGGGTGCAGAAAAATGGCAACAGGTGCTCTGGATTGCTAAGTCAAAAATTTAAATATTTGACTGCAGCAGGAGGAAGTTTGTTTGCCTAAGAGCTGGAGAGTGGTAAAGTAATGAGTCTCTGTAGGCAACAATAAAGCATTGCGGGGGTTCCTTGAACGTTTGGGGCAGCATCTCTGCAATTGGAATTCAATTTTGGTCAGGATCAATGGTGTCCTTGATGCTAAGAAATACAGGCAGATACTTATTCATACCATCAGTGAGGCATGTGATTGGCCCCAAAATGTATTCTGCTGCAGTACCAAGACCCTAGACATACAGCCAATGTCATTAAGAACAGCATAAAGAAGAACAAGGAGTCCTGGAAGTGATGGTTTGGCTCTCGCAGAACCCTGATCTCAACATCATGGAATCTGTCTCAGATTACATGAAGACAGAAGGATTTGAGGTAGCCTACAGCCACAGAAAATCTGTGATTAGTTCTTTAAGATGTTTGGAACAACCTACCTGCTGAGTTCCTTCAAAAACTGTGTGCAAGTGTGGCTAAAAGAATTGATGCTGGATTGAAGCCCAAGGGTATTCACACCAAATATTGATTTGATTTGGATTTCTCTTCTGTTCATTTACTTTCCATTTTGTTAATTGATACAAATAAACTAGTAACACTTCTAATTCTGAAAGCATTCTTCATTTACAGCATTTTTTCAGACCTGCCTAATACTTTTGCACAGTAGTGTATGTACAATGACTGTATGCTGCTGGATTGACTGTATTTATTAATGCTAAAGGTCTCTCTTTGTACAGAACACTGACCAAATAAAAAAGCACATATTTTGGTAGAGACTGGGTCAAATTCAGAATTAATTTTATTTAGCACCTTGTATCATAAAAATGTTTGAGGGGTTTAACAACTCGCCTAATGGGCACTTTCACCCCCTTCCTGCCCAGGACAGTTTTCAGCTTTCAGTGCTGTTGCACTTTGAATGCCAATTGGTTCATGCAACACTGTACCCAAACAAAATTTGTATTTTTTGTTTTGAGACATATAGAACTTTCTTTTGGTGGTATTTAATCACCACTGGGTTTTTTATTTTTTTGCTAAACAAACGCAAAAAGACCAAACATTTTGAAAAAAAAAGGCATCACTGATGTGCACTGATATGTGGCACTGATGGGCACTGATAGATGGTACTGATAGGCACTGATGGGCATTGATAGGTGGCACCGATGGGCATTGATTGGCACTGATGGGCAGCACTGATGGGTATTGATAGACTGCGCGGATGAGGAAGCAGTGATAGGTGGCACTGATGGGCATTGACAGGCATCACTGATAGGACACTGAGAGTCATCACTGATGGGCATTGCAGCACTGATGAGGCTGCACTGATAATTAGAGCGCTGATGATCAGTGTCCTGATTATCAGTGTAGATGTGCTCTGTGTGGATTTCCACTTATCGGCTCTCCTCTCCTCATGCACTGTCAGCATGAGGAGAGGACTGCTGATAACTGGCATTTTCTGTTTATATGTGATCAGCTGTGATTGGACACAGCTGATCATATGGTAAAGAGCCTATGTCATCAGCTCGTTACTGCAATCGGTGATCCGCTGTGTCCTAGGGACACTGATCGTCACACCACGTACCCCCGGGGGTCATGTGACGTCCTCCCAGAACAAGAAAGCTCCCTCCCGTCTGTCATTTTGTGATACAATGGGCAGGAGGTGGTTAATACTGGTGCTGTACATGCAAACAAGCATTGAAATATATACATTATTCTTACATATGCGTTTCTACTGCATTTATGCTGCATTTAAAAACACACCTGAGTGTATTTATCTACCAAAAAAAAAAGTTCTACAGCTCTGAGCTGAGATCTATCAGTCCTGAGATCTCAGTAAACAAAATCCCTGTTCGGAATCCCACAATGCAGTGACCAGTTTGCAGTTACTGTCCTCGTTATGTAAATAAATGTATTTAAAATATGTGTTGACATAGGATTTTAAGGGACTCCAATGAAACACTGGGGAAGCAAGCTGCATTATTAAAATATAGCTAAAGGCAATTTAAAAAAAAAACATTTGGACAGAGTGGAAAGAGATTGGAAAACGATATGGTTTTTGCTGTCTGTGCCCTTGTTATGGAGAGCCACCCTCTCTATTTGTCCTATCAGGAATAGAGGGGAAATCTTCGATGGGAACAATAGTTCTGGTGACCCTGGTATCAAAGGATTTCCCTCACTTTGGAGAGATTTTCTCTCACTTCCTGTTTTGGCTATGGGTCAGGAAGCCAAAGGAAATCTGTTCAATGGGGTGGAGATTATAAAACAACCTGACGGGCTAAAGGGATTCTAAAAGTTTATTTTTAAGTAAGAAAAAATAACAAACATGTCTATACTTACCTGCTGTGTGAAGTGGTTTTGCACAGAGCAACCCAAATCCTCCTCTTCTTGGGTCCTCTGCAGGCTTTCCTGGCCCTTCCATCCTGTCGCATGCCCCCACAGCAAGAGGCTTGCTATTGGGGGCACCCACTGCTCTGTGTGACCATTCACACACAGAGCTGTGGCTCGGTCCCGCCCTCTCTCTCTTCTCCTTGGCTCAGTGGCAGTGATGATTGACAGCAGTGGGAGCCAATGGCTCCCGCTTCTGTCTCATCCAGTGAGAAGAGAGATTCCTAGGATAGCCAAGACTCCAGTGCACATCACTGAATCGTGAGGGGGCTGGGAGGGATGCTGCATAGAGAAGGTTTTTTACCTTGAGCCTTTAGAACCACTTTAAATTTCCCCTGTACACTATTCAAAATAAAAATGAAAGTTTTGTCTATATAGATGTATTTTTCCCTCCACCCTATAGCAGTTTTACAGCTACAGGGTGGCTATCCTGTGAAAAATCAAGTGTGTATATACCTGATTTTGCACTTCTGCCTCACAGGAGGTGATCGTGCGCCACCGGTGGATCGCTTCTACTGTTAACTGTCACAGCAGAAGGCGATCTGTGAGTTCAGGCGAATGGATCTTCTCTGGAACCCGCAGATCATCAGACAGGAAGGAAGAACACAGCTGTGCCTATGTTTACATAGGCACAACTGTGTTGTACCAGAAGAAAACTATCCATCATTTGTCGCTGCAGAGTTGGAAACATGATCCATCAATTCCTGTTGTATCAGCACCATCTAGTGTACAGCAAGCACATAGCTAAGCACACAGTTAACCCTTTGATCACCCTAGATGTTTAACCCCTTCTCAACCAGTGTCATTAACACAGTGATCAGTGTATATTGTAGCATTGATCACTGTCAGAGGCGTCCCTAGGGTTGGTGTCACCCGATGTGGTAACACGTGGTGTCACCCCCCTCCAGAAAGGAAGGAGCGGTGCCAGTGTAGTGGCAAAATGAGTATTCCGTGAAGATATGTATCCCCTGAAGCAACTGTGCATGTGCCGGTTTCAGGCCGAAGAAGCCAGTCTCCGACTTTAGCACAGAGCTGCCACAATTTACCCCTTACAGGCTGCAAACCGCTGAAGCTGATCCCGCAGATCACTATGGGTTGCAAGATCAGTTGACCCCATATAGGTTCAACCTATACGGGGTTAACTGATCTTGCAACCCATAGTGATCCGCGGGATCAGCTTCAGTGGTTTGCAGCCTGTAAGGGGTTAACTGTCGTAGCTCTGTGCTAAAGTAGGAGATCGGAGATCGGCTTCTTTGGCATGAAACTGGCACATGCGCAGTTGCTTCAGGGGATACATATCTTTACAGGATACTCATTTTACCGCTACACCGGGGGGGCAGCTGTCACTGTGTCGGGAATCCGGGATTACCCCAATAACTGGCCAGAACCTTCACAGAGCCCAGAAGCTCTGCTGACATCCTACTCCTGCACCCCCTGTGATGGTGTCACCCGGTGCAGCCTGCACCCCCCACACTCCTCTAGGGATGCCATTGATCACTATATTAGTGTCACTGGTTCCCACAAATTGTCAGTTAGTGTAAAAATGTCCACCGCAATACCACAGTCCCACTATAAGTTGCTGATCACCGCCATTACTAGAGAAAAAAAATAAAATACTTAAAATACTTTTTACTAGTATAAAAATAAAATTCCAGCATATGTCCCATAGTTTGTAGACGCTATATCTTTTGTGCAAACTAATCAATATACAAAAATTGGGATTTTTTTACTAAAAATATGTAGCAGAATACATTTTGGCCTAAATTTATGAAAACATTTGGTTTTTAATTTTTTTTATTGGATATGTTTTATAGTAGAAAATAAAAAATAATGTTTGTTTTCAAAATTGTAAGTATTTTTTTATTTATAATGCAAAAAGTAAAAACTGCAAAGGTGATCAAATACCACCAAAAGAAAGCTCGCATTGTGGGGAAAAAAATACATACATTTCATTTTGGTACAGTGTTGCATGACTGTGCAATTGTTAATTAAATTAACGAAGTGCCGTATCGCAAAAAAAAAAAGGCCTAGTCAGAAAGGGGGATAAATCTTCCGGAGGGCAAGTGGTTAAGAAGGGAGCAGGTCATGGTACCTGTTCTATACAATTTGTGTAACTTTACTGCATTTTGCAAAGGTTGACTAAATAGAAGCTTCTTGCCCAGATTTCTGTATTGCAGTTCTCGTACTAGGTATTTTTTGCACTTACTGTGGTGGGTAATTCTTGAAGTTCATCCTTGTAGACGTTGAGCTCGGTGACAAGGCTGCTGGGAAAATAACCAACAAGTCCCTGCTGATCCCTGTACTGGTCACTATAAATCTGTCAGTGAGAAGGAGAGTTAGTACAAGGCACCTCCAGTTTGCCCATGCTCATACCAGAACAACACAGCTGTCACATCCACTTTGCAGCCACTTGTTTTTCTCAGCATTCTTAAACATAAATAGTCAAAGAGATCTCAAAAGTTGTGTTTGTAGCTGAGCAGATGGACCACATGTGGCACCAATAAGCGGTAAATCACACCTCCGCCTTCAAGATCTTTAATTGTGCACTGCAGAGGTTTTTCTTCTAACGTACATGTTTTCATGCATTATAGAATCTCATTAGAGGAACTTCAGCTGCTGCATCAGTTCAGACATCCAGACAGTGAGATCTCCAATACCTGAATATGAAATCACTACTTAAACTGGATTGTGAAGGCCTAAACAGAAACACATTTAGATTAATGATATGTATAGCCTACAGCCATTCATCACTTGCAGAGTCTATACACACTGAACCTTTATTTGTGCTTTACTTGTGACTGGACTGCCTGCTGTTTACTGCAGGTAACAAAATAAAATAATACCTGCAAATTATGTATGCTGCTAGGCTTGTGGTAGAGCTACCCTCAAAGGGCCCACTTGATAATGCTTGTCCCCAGTGGTTGCCCTGATCTTGCAAGCTTCCTGACACCTCTGACACTCTGGGTACAGACATATTTCAATAATAAAGAATAATAATGCCAGAGACCAAATTTTTTAGTAACACCTCTATATTAGACTTGTTGAAAAGAGTAGACTACAGGAAAAATGGGTTTAGGGAACACAACCCCAGTTAATGCATAAAAGCAGAACACTGGTAAAACAGAAACAATCAATTAGCAACATTTAACAGGTTATACATTCATGAGAAGAAAGTTTCAACGATTTAATTGCAACACCGGCAGTAAGAAGGGGAAGAGAAGACTTGTTGAATTATTAGGTCACTCTGGACCACCGGCGATAGAAGGGGTATACAGAGAATTAGGCAAATGTATACTCCGGCATAAATATACCTGTATGTTGGTACCCTAGTTTGAGTAACAATGGCCTTAGAAAGGAAGAGGCCCCTTTAACTATAGGTTGCAGCTTCAGTTTTGTGATATTAAGAGTTCCTGATATGATGGTATCTGCTGTCTTCTGCTAGCAACAGTGGGGCCCATAAACATTAGTAAATACTGGTAAATCACTGAAGTTAAACAGCTGTGGTACTGATCAAAACAAAAGTTTCCTAGTGACTGAGGTATAAAGGTTTTTGCATGCAGAGTCTCTAGGGAGATGACAGAAAGAGGTTGGTGTTCCGCCCGCTCACCAATCCTATGGATAACACAGCCTCCTAGGAACAAGAGTTCTCATACAGGCTCTTGATTGTTTGCTGGGATGTGCAGAGTTAACACCTGCCAGCCTGTCAACGCAGCAAGCAGAGACAACTGGACGAAGACTGTATAGTGACAGTCCCGGTGCAGAGAAGCTTATAAGATCCTGGTGTGGCAATAGGCATCACTGCTGTACTGAACTGTTGTGCAGAGTCCTGCAGCAGTAGACCTGCAATCTGTCTCTGTAGGATAATGGCAGTCCCCGTGTCCAGCTCTTAATCCTACCAAGAGAGCAAGCCTCTCCCTTGCTGTAGAATATATCTGCTTTCCCAGCATATCTCTCATTTGCCAGCTCTATGGTATGTGTAGGTCAATCAGCACTCCAGAATTTGCTATAGGACTACAGGTCCCAAGATCCTCTGCTGTCAGACGAATTGGAACCACTCTGCTAACAGGAAATTATGTAACTGTCCAAGTACTGGGCACTGGGGGCTAATAATAGTCTCATTTGTAAGTGTTCCTGAATTGCATAATGACATAGCTGGCAGCTTACTACACTTGTATAGGGTTCTGCAGCTCTGTAACATGCAAAAGGGGTATGTATACCTCCCAACTTGAGAACAAAAAAAAAAAAAAGACCTCAACATCAGTGGTTGGTCCTACAAGTTCAAGAAACCTTGAAATTGTTTGGCCAGGCAGCCACCCATTCACTTCTATGGTTGAGTGCTTGACCAGTAAGCATTGATTAACTTCTGTGGTGGATAGCTTGGCCCAACAGCCATTCATTCACTGATATGGTGGAACATGTCCTGGATTTACAGGACTGAGGGATTCTGTTTAAATACTAGGGCAATCTTGAGGGATCCAGGGCAGTTGGGGGGTTTGGAGATAGGAACCTACATTGACAACAGGAGTCTGTGCAGGTCTGCACAGACTGTTTTTAAGGAAGTATGTTATTGCATATATAACCCTTTGAAACAGAAAAATGGTAATTTGTTTTCTAAAAAGAGTTCCAGCCTTACCATACCTGTATATCTATCTTTCCTTCCTAAATGTTTCACAGCTGCATTTTCTGTAAAGTCTGGTAACCTGCACAGACTAGGCATGAATGAAACATTGTAGTGAATGGAATTAGGGCTTCTCTTTACTTATTTGTCATGGCAGGGTTTGTTTAATTAGCTATACTTGGCATTCTCCACGTTGAAACATAGATATGTTGAGCAAAAACTCTGAACCTTCTTGCTCTCAGATATTCTATATGTGGTGTTCCTACACTTTATTTTTTCCAGAGTCACAAAGGTCCTCCAGTAGTGAAAACAGACCTTCTCTTGGGAGGAGCCTTCATCACAACCCTAAAACTACCAATGAAAACCCTAAAACCAACAATCCAGTGCCACCATTACTTCTACCAATGACTCTGCACAGTAAATGCCAATCTAACATTTTTATCTTTGCTCTGTCTACTGCTCTTTTAGTCCAAATGAGACCTTTGTGGTTTTCTTCTATGTACTTGACATCTAGTCAGATGGCATCTAGTTTTGTGCCTTTAAACAGAAGCTGCCTAAGTTAAAATGATGACTTCAGTGCATAAAGGGCCCTCATAGTACACAGAAGAAAGTACATTCAGATTAAAATCCAGTAATCCTTTATGGAATAACAAAGAGCTCTTTCCCAAATCATGAATACGTTTAATAGTTCCATGGCTTCCAATACCACCTCTATGCTGATGACACCCAGATCTATCTCCCCACTCCCCAGCTCACCCCCTCAATCTCCTCACGTATCACAAATCTACTAAGCGACATATCAGCATGGATGTCACATCACTACCTTAAACTCAATCTTTCAAAAACTGAGCTTGTAATATTTCCTCCTCCCCGATCCCTCACTCAGGACTTTACCATAAAGATCAACAGCACAACCATTGGTCCTTCCCCTCATGCCAGGGTGCTAGGCGTAATCCTAGACTCTGACCTCTCCTTTGGGCCCCACATCCACTCACTGGCTAAATCTTGCCACCTCAACCTCCGGAACATTTCCAAAATCCGCCCCTTCCTGACCAATGACACCACCAAACAACTTATCCACGCCTTGGTTATATCCCGCCTCAATTACTGCAACTCCCTCCTCACTGGTCTACCGTTACACAGGCTATCCCCCCTTCAGTCTATTATGAATGCTGCTGCTAGACTCATACACCTTACCAACCGATCAACAACTGCTGCACCTCTCTGCCAATCCCTCCACTGGCTTCCATTAACCCAACGTATAAAATTCAAAATACTAACCACAGCTTACAAAGCCATCCGCAACATTGCCCCTAGCTACATCACCATCCTCATCCACAGATACCACCCAAATCGCCCACTCCACTCCTCCCATGATATCCTCCTCTCTAGCTCCCTCATCACTTCCTCCCACGCTCACCTCCAGGACTTCACCAGAGCCTCTCCCATCCTGTGGAACTCCCTACCACAGCATGTCCGGTCAGCCCCCACCCTGTCTGCCTTTAGGCGATCTTTGAAAACTCACTTCTTCAGGGAAGCCTACCCCACCTCCACCTAAGAACTGTACTTGAATCGCCTCCGGCAGATCATCCCCCGCAGCTATCACCTTTTGTATCACCTCCCCTTCCTTTAGATTGTAAGCTCCACGAGCAGGGCCCTCCTATACCTTCTGTACTGAAATGTATTGTAATTGTACTGTCTCCCTTATATTGTGAAGCGCTGCGCAAACTGTTGGCGCTATATAAATCCTGTATAATAATAATAGTCTCGATTCATTTTAACCACACCACAATGACCTGCCTTCTAACTGAACTACAGGCAACTGTAAATGCACACTATTGTATTACAGGCACCTCTGCCACACAACAAAACCAGGGCCTTGATCATCCTGCAGACTTTACTGCAATTGAAGTCTAATCCAAGACGAACCCCAATCTGTGACTGGACCATGAACACTGATGAGGTCATCCATGTGCTCTTCCCTTTCCTGAAAGAGGCATTGAAACTGCCATTGCTTCTTCCCAATCTTCTTGAATGTGAGTTCCCTGGCTGTCATGTTTATCCTTTTGTCTCAATACTTTGGGTCCCCAACAGAAACAAGTATTCAAATGAGGATGCATGCATATACAGATAGTCTTACTTTTTCCATGTCCGTTCTACAAACCTTATTAAACCCAGTTGGTCTATGTACAAGACCAGGGGTCTCCAAACTTTCTAAACAAAGGGCTAGTTTAATGTCCTTCTGACAGGACAGGACTGTGGCCAGCGGGAGTAGAAATTTTCCTGGCATCAATGGGAATAAAAAATGGGAATAAAAAATCAATGGGAATAAAAAATGCCTCATCTTTGGTATTAGGGAAAGGATTAGTGCCCCATCATTGGTGTCAATGGGAGAGAAATAGTGCCCCATTGTTGGTGTCTGTGGCAGGAATTATGTTGGTATCAGTGGGCAGAATATTGTCTCTTATCAGTGAGATGAAAAGTGCCCCAAAGGGCCAGATAAAGGCAAGCAGGTGGGCACATCCAGCCCCTGGGGCCACAGTTTGGACACCACTGTACTAGTCAGCCTACTAGCAGCTTCAGAAGGGTATTACACTATAAACCACCCCCCAGAGCTGCAATACAAAGCATTACAGGACAAGAAAATATAAAACGTGGGGATTTCTTTTTATATCTGCTTGGAGTTCATTTCAAGCCAAGTCCATATGGTGGCTTAGCTTGGAAAAGGGGGTGCTATATATTGGATTTAAGGTATAATAGATTCCCATTAGCACAGGAATATAACAAATAATAGCATTGGATTTCATGTATAATAGATTCACATTAGCACAGGAATATAAATAATACACATTTTTAGAGGGTTTTTGTATTACGTTCAACAATTGAAGTGACTAATCCTGGGAAAATAAATAGGGATTATGTCAAGAATTCTCCCTGCAGATAAAAGAACATTGACTGCTATATATGAGGACTTGTACTACGGAAATGTAAAAAAACACATTAGCCGTCAATGGTAATATAATATAATATGTATAATATAATATAAAAGCTTACACTTCCGGACCAGAATTCACCCGCGTCATCGTATTCCTTTACTAACTTGGTGTAGATGTAGACCAGCTCGCCTTTCTTAATGTTGACAAATCTGCAGTCTGGAGCGTGGTAATCATCTTCAGCTCTACCAAGTGATATAGCATCTGAGGAGTGATCAGGACAGGATACTCAGCATGTTCCAGTATAGATAACATTGCCTTATGCAGGCCAAGGGCTTTTCTTTCGTTTGGTATTATTCCTGATGCATCTTATGTTTAAAGAAATCTCAAATAAGAAAAAAGTAAATTTTGCTATTATGGCAAACAATTGTAAACTTGTATAGTGACAACCAGGGCTCCAGAAACTAACCGAAGTAGCTGAGTTTGACTTGACATTAGCCTCTTGTAATCCAATGTACAACAGCATTAAACCTGGAAGTGGGAAGGGCATGACTAAGAGCTAATGTACTGTGCTGCATGGAAATGTCTTGCCCAGGAACATGCTCATCTATGATTTCATCACTTTGTTATGTTCTTTCACTGTCCAATCACAGGTTGGAGAAAGAACAACAAGACAGCCTAGACTTGAGTCTCAACTCAGGTGAAGCAATAGCAAATAGCAGAACTAGCTATTGAATGGTTAGCACTTCCTCCTGGCAGTACTAGGGTCGTTGGTTCGAATCCCAGCCACGGCACCACCTGCCTGGAGTTTGCATGTTCTCCCTGTGCCTGTGTGGGTTTACTCCGGGTACTCCGGTTTCCTCCCACACTCCAAAGACACGCTGGTAGTTTAATTGGATCCTGTTTAAATTGTCCCTAGTATGTGTATTTATGAATGTAAGTTAGGGACTTTAGATTGTACGCCCCTTGAGGGTTAGGGACTGATGTGAATGTACAATATATATGTAAAAGCGCTGTGTAAATTGATGGTGCTATATAAGTACCTGAAATAAATAAATAAATATCCAACCCCACTAATGGAGCATTTCCTTATAAATGAGATAGGGCATCTTCTGGTGCTCATAGACCTATAGCAACCTACAGACATCAGATGGTGGACAATCCAACCACTTCTCCTGAGAGCGGTCAACCAAGGAGATGTCCGACGAGGTGAAAGTGTGTGAACTGACATGTAACCATTCTATGCTGTAGGTCTGACTGTAAGAAGCTGGCTAGAGCAAGTATATGTAAAGCTAAAAACAGTTTTTTTTTAGTTTCACATTAGGTAGTAAAGGGTTTAAATCCTGACTGTTTAAGAGAAAGGTCTACAAAGTGAGGGTAATTCATCTCTTAAACAGTCATCAGAACAAGTGTCCCCGTTGGTAGACTTCCCTGCACATCTTGTTCTAGTGACAAATACAAAATGTTAGCTGTCCCATCATTTTCTGTTTCAGTGATAATGAATTAGAAGTAGAAACGTGCACTCCGGAAAATTTTGTTTTCGATGTACTTGTTCATTGAAGAATTCCATTTTGTCAAATTTATGTTAAACCAATTTGTTTTCAGAATTCAGTTGGTCCGGATGGATTAGAAAATTTTTTGCAGTTTTTCCAGATTGCTATATATACGATATATTGTCAAATCTGACAGATTTTAATCGGAAGAACTCAATATCTTTGGGCACTAGCCCAACCCACCAAGAGAAATAGCATGAGCTGATTGCACAATATCTACTGGGATCATGTGTTCTGAATTAACATTTGGAACAAAACTTGGATCCATTCCTTATCCAAACAAATTTGAAAATTGAATTCATTTCCCCATGGGTCTGAACTACTATAGCATCATGTGATGTCATCTGAATGACACAAATGCATTTATTTTTGTTATACATTTTTTCAAATCCACCCTAATCAACGAGTATATGAAACAAATGCCGAAGATATGAAATAAATTCCGAAAACAAATTGGGTCAACAACATAATCAATATGACAAACCAAAATTCTTCAATGAATGAATGCATTCAAAACAAAACAAACATTTCTGGCATGCACATATCTAATATAAAAATAAAAACAGTCATTTTGAGAATAAAAATAAAAATGTTGTTTTATTATTATTAGTTTTGACGTAATTAAAAGTGCAGTTCAAACTGCATAACCTAACCCATAACTTTATGAACTCCTGGAAGCTCAGTTTCCATTGGCTGACATAGCTTTCTACATTGTACTGCTATTTGTACTGTATTGTTATGTAATTTGGTGTTTGTCAGTTTTATTGTATAACTGCCCTCTTTGTCACAGATATTCATCCAGAACCCCATGATAAATGTCTGTTTCTCTTAAGTCCCCCCCCCCCCCCACCAAAGTGTGTATATTTATTAGCCATAACCTTTTGTTTCACCACTGAAACAAAAACAATCTTTCCAAATTATCTTTTTTGATTGTAATATAATTTTATTATTTAAAGCAATTGAAAAACAAATATTATTATTAGACATTATTACCATATCTCAAATTTCTTTATGACAGTAAGGTGTTACAAATTCAATAAATAACATGAAACTTTGATACAGCATTAATTAATGATTAGTAAATGTAGTTTCTTCTGTATAATATTTAGTATTTACTAAGCTTTCGACTTGCTCAAGATTTGATCTACCAAACAAGAATACCCCGGTTACATCTGAGAACTACCTTGAGGTTACAATACCATGTGCTAAGGACCGCTGATGGAAACCCCACAAAATTAGAATTAAAAAAAAAGTTTGTGCAACTTAGTACAGTTAAATTAACAAATAAGATGAAAGATAAAGACGGAAATAAAGATTTGCATTTTTGGCAAACTTACAAATACATTCATCATCGGCGCAGAGCTTCTTCTTTGACAACTTCTGCATGAAAGCCCCATTGGCCTTTTGATGTACAAATCCCAGACATAAGGCTATGACCACAACATACATAGCCTTAGCCATTTTTCCCCAGACTTTCCTCCCAAGAGCTCGGTCAGTGTCTTTAGAAGAGTGTACTGTGATAACTTTGAACCACTTGCAGTACATTTATGCTGGAACTGAACATCTGGGAAAACACAGCCAGCCAATAGGATTGACCTGCACAGCATTCCATTCACACACATGGACACATGGATACAAGAGAGCTCCTGTGCAGTTGTTTATCAAAGACACTCAGTAGCATTACTAAGAAGAGAACGCTGTAAGCACACAAAAATAGGCAGAAATATCTGGTCCAAAATATTAAACAAAAACTCCACTTTTGTAGCAGAATTCATATTTTAAGGTAAACCTGTTTTACTCAAAATTCATGTATTGTATTGTTACTGTATTGTCTCATGTTCTGTCCCCCTACTTTAATGTACAGCGCTGAGCAAACCTTTTGGCTCTATATAAACACTGAATAATAACAATAATAATAATAATTTGCAAAGCAACAGGTTTTCTTTAAAGCAGACTTCTATAAACATATACTGTAAACTCATCATCCTATTACTCATGTTTGCTTTAAAGCAGTATTTAACTAAAAATCATACATTTATTATTTATTTATTTATAGTATTTTATTATAATTTTGCTGCCATTTTTTTCCATCCCTGTTCCTATGTTTTCGTGCAAAGTTAAGTCACTTGTTTCCCTGTCCTATGCACAAAAATATTGGATCTGGGGTGCAGAAAAATGGCAGCAGGTGCTCTGGAGCGAACTCTAGAGTGGTGAGCAAAAAGCAAACTCTAGAGTGATGAGTCAAAATGCGAACTCTAGAGTGATGAGTCAAAATGCGAACTCTAGAGTGATGAGTCAAAATGCGAACTCTAGAGTGATGAGTCAAAATGCGAACTCTAGAGTGATGAGAGTCAAAATGCGAACTCTAGAGTGATGAGTCAAAATGCGAACTCTAGAGTGATGAGTCAAAATGCGAACTCTAGTGATGAGTCAAAATGCGAACTCTAGAGTGATGAGTCAAAATGCGAACTCTAGAGTGATGAGTCAAAATGCGAACTCTAGAGTGATGAGTCAAAATGCGAACTCTAGAGTGATGAGTCAAAATGTGAATTATTTGACTGTAGCAGGAGGAAGTTTGTTCACTGGAGGCCTGCAGAGTGGTTTTCAGGCAGCCTACATCCACAGAAGATCTGTGGTTAGTTTTCCAAGATGTTTGGCACAATTCCTTCACAGTTCCTTCAAAAACTGTGTAAGTGTACCTAGAAGAATTGATGCTGTTTTGAAGGCAAAGGGTGGTCACACTAAGTATTGATTTGATTTGGATTTCTCTTCTGTTCATTTACTTTCCATTTTCGTTAATTGATAAAAATAAACTATTATCACTACTATTGCTGAAGGTATTCTCCATTTACATATTTTTTTCACAACTGCCTACAACTTTTGCACAGATAGATAGATATATATATATATATATATATACAAAACAAAAGGAGCATTCTGGAAATAAAGGGTTTTTTTTTCTATTAGAAACTGGTGCAAATTAAAATAGTTTGATATAAAGCATGGCATTATAAACATCATCAAGCCTAGCAGTAAGTTTCCTTATCTGTATTGAATAAAGATGAATAAAGAATAACTTCACTCCTTTTCCCTCCCCTATTACAGCACACCTGGTCCTGCACCATTATTATTTTCCGACAAGATCAGGGGACCAGCTATCTCTTCTGGATTCTTGTAGCTGGCCCCATGATGATATCAGGGGTCCAACTGCAAAAACCAAGAAGAGACAGCCAGCCCCACTGATGAAGTAGTGCATGCTGAAGTATACTCCATGGCCTCCGGGGAAGAGTAACATGGGTGTTCTAGGAGGCTGCAGGCAGCTGCACATGTAATTCTCACCTAGGCAAGAAACCTGGAAGTGTGGAGAGGGGTCCCCAAGAAAGGTATTTAAAAAATATACAGTCAGGTCCATAAATATTGGGACATCGACACAATTCTAACATTTTTGGCTCTATACACCACCACAATGGATTTCAAATGAAATTAACAAGATGTGCTTTAACTGCAGACTGTCAGCTTTAATTTGAGGGTATTTACATCCAAATCAGGTGAACGGTGTAGGAATTACAACAGTTTGCATATGTGCCTCCCACTTGTTAAGGGACCAAAAATAATGGGACAATTGGCTTCTCAGCTGTTCCATGGCCAGGTGTGTGTTATTCCCTCATTATCCCAATTACAATGAGAAGATAAAAGGTCCAGAATTCATTTCAAGTGTGCTATTTGCATTTGGAATCTGTTGCTGTCAACTCTCAAGATGAGATCCAAAGAGCTGTCACTATCAGTGAAGCAAGCCATCATTAGGCTGAAAAAACAAAACAAACCCATCAGAGAGATAGCAAAAACATTAGGCGTGGCCAAAACAACTATTTGGAACATTCTTAAAAAGAAGGAACGCACCGGTGAGCTCAGCAACACCAAAACACCCGGAAGACCACGGAAAACAACTGTGGTGGATGACCGAAGAATTCTTTCCCTGGTAAAGAAACACCCTTCACAACAGTTGGCCAGATCAAGAACACTCTCCAGGAGGTAGGTGTATGTGTGTCAAAGTCAACAATCAAGAGAAGACTTCACCAGAGTTTATACAGAGGGTTCACCACAAGATGTAAACCATTGGTGAGCCTCAAAAACAGGAAGGCCAGATTAGAGTTTGCCAAACGACATCTAAAAAAGCCTTCACAGTTCTGGAACAACATCCTATGGACAGATGAGACCAAGATCAACTTGTACCGGAGTGATGGGAAGAGAATAGTATGGAGAAGGAAAGGAACTGCTCATGATCCTAAGCATACCACCTCATCAGTGAAGCATGGTGGTGGTAGTGTCATGGCGTGGGCATGTATGGCTGCCAATGGAACTGGTTCTCTTGTATTTATTGATGATGTGACTGCTGACAAAAGCAGCAGGATGAATTCTGAAGTGTTTCAGGGAATATTATCTGCTCATATTCAGCCAAATGCTTCAGAACTCATTGGACGCCGCTTCGCAGTGCAGATGGACAATGACCCAAAGCATACTGCAAAAGCAACCAAAGAGTTTAAGGGAAAGAAGTGGAATGTTATCCAATGGCCAAGTCAATCACCTGACCTGAATCCGATTGAGCATGCATTTCACTTGCTGAAGACAAAACTGAAGGGAAAATGCCCCAAGAACAAGCAGGAACTGAAGACAGTTGCAGTAGAGGCCTGGCAGAGCATCACCAGGGATGAAATCCAGCGTCTGGTGATGTCTATGCGTTCCAGACTTCAGGCTGTAATTGACTGCAAAGGATTTGCAACCAAGTATTAAAAAGTGAAAGTTTGATTTATGATTATTATTCTGTCCCATTACTTTTGGTCCCTTAACAAGTGGGTGGCACATATGCAAACTGTTGTAATTCCTACACCGTTCACCTGATTTGGATGTAAATACCCTCAAATTAAAGCTGACAGTCTGCAGTTAAAGCACATCTTTTTCGTTTCATTTCAAATCCATTGTGGTGGTGTATAGAGCCAAAAATGTTAGAATTGTGTCGATGTCCCAATATTTATGGACCTGACTGTATAATACTAATGAAGTCCAACTGTGTAAGAGGAGGGGAGGAGTGAGAAAGTGGATGGGGAAAGGTGAAGATCATAATTTTTTCTGTGTTAAATGATGACCAGAATTATTTAACCCACTTCTGAGTGCTGACCATAATAGGCTTGGCCCCTGAGGAGGCGTTACTCAAGTGCCTTGTAATCACAGTAGAATTCAGAAAAGGCTGTTAATGCCATCCCAACACTACCTACATAAATGAGGCCTGCCCAGGGTCAGAGAAGAGGCAAAGAAGCGGACACTACACAATTATGTGATTGACATGAAAAAGGTTAACAGAAAAAAAGCAAAGAATATTGTATATGCTGTGGCCATCCAGGAGAATATATATATATATATATATATATATATATATATATATATATGGTATACTGCATCTAACTAATAAAATAGCTGTGTTGGACATTTTCCATGATTACATTTTGCTGCACAATATTTATCCTATAGGTGTACACCTGATTTTTCAGTCCATATGGTATTTTTATTGTGTAGTACTACTTCTCACAGGTGATGTAGAATGACCCCCAAAGTAATATGTCAGGCTGACATCTCTAAATGCTGCTGTACCTACTCTCCTGGGTGCATCCACTCTCAGAATTAATAAAGGACTATATGGATCCTAGTATCCTATGATCTTACACTAGTAGCCTATTTTGTATCTGATTGATTTCTGCCTATAGCCAATAGACACTCCTAAGGAGAAACCCGAGTCGGAGTTATCAACAAGCTATTGGAGCACTACAGCTTCTACCACACACGGCATCCACAGGGGGATTTTCACCAAGGGAAACCTTACTGAGGATCTGAATGTACACCCCATACTGACAGCTTGGAACACACCAACGGTTGTTACTGATTAATCCTTGAATGCTGTCCTACATTATTGTGTTGTAACAGCCTTCCTACCAGGTGAGAAGATTCCAGATTTGACTTCTTCATGCAGTTTATCAGCTACTTGGCTGTGTCCACCGGATCACTGTACCAGGCTGCTGACCAATCATAGTAGATCACAAGACAATTGTAAACAATGAATTGCTTTGATTCATGCCATTCATTGTGTACAATTGTGTTGCTAGCTGTGATTGGTTACAGTGATCACATGGTACAGACAGGGCCAATCACAGCCCATTTGTACAATGTGATTATCTGTGGCCAATCACAGCTAATCACAAAAACTGATGTGGCAGTGATCAAAGACACTGACTGGTGACAGTATGTCAAATAAAAAAAAAATGAAATCCTGATCACTTCCCTAGAGTAGTACAATGTTATTATGGTAACACTGTATTTCTTTTATCACAGTGTGTTTAAAAAAAATAGTAAGAAAATGTAATAAAAATAATGAATGTAATTTAAAAAATCGAAAAAAAAAAAATATTTTT